GAAATTTTTAATGTGATGTTTGCTACGGTTTTTGAACAAGTTTGACATAGAAAAGCTCGAACTATTTCATTACTGAACAGAAACAAAAACAGTTAACCAGAGTGATTCACTTGGCCACCGGAGATTAGTTCACCACGTCCGAAAATGTTCCTTCTACCACTGCTTCTGTTTCCATTAGGTTTTCAAGGTTGTAGTAAGGTTTTGCAAATCTTACCACTTCCACAACGAAAACAAAANAGAAGAAACAGTAAACCAAGATTGTTCCATAATTGCGTTTCTTTTTTTCTTCTGTAAACATTTTTCTTTTTTGAGTATATGTTCTTAGATTTTGGTTGTGTATATATATATAGACGTAAAATATTTTACAGAACCATTAATATATGTCACGATTGCCCAAGTATTATTTACCAAATCAATAACAGATAGTGTCACTTTCGCAATCACCATTTTTCGGCACGTTCTTTTTTGTCAGACCCACTTATTAGATTTAGATGCGGATTGGGAGTCACTGGCACGTCTTTGCATGTATTCATGAATGATAGATTAATTATTTTGTTAGTAGTGTTTCAACTAGAGTGATTAACTTAAATCACTATAACAGAATTAAATACCTTCACTGAATTGAAAAGAAGAACACGACTGTTCTTAAATACAAGTGATATGGACTTAACCAAGTATTAAATCAACATACGATAAACTCTAATGTCGTCATCATTGTATGGACTTATTATAGATAGTGTTGATCATATTAAATTTGATAATGTAGAGTTGAATTGTATAGGGTTGTAACGTATATAATTATATCATATTAGTTGTGAGTAAAACAAGAGCAGAGCTCAAGACTAGAAAGAAGGATGAATATGTAAACTTTCATTTTTATTCGGCTTAAGGTTTACACTCGTTTATAGCCTTGGATATATAGAATCGTTAATCTAATAAGAGACTGAGAAGTGTCTAGGTGTGAGCGGTTGCTCCCGATCCTAGAGCAGGGCCGGCCCTGGGTTGACACCGGTGACGCCGGTTGCGTTAGGCATAAAAAAATATTAGAAATTTATAGGGTCTTGAAGGGGAATAAAAAAAAAATTCGAGCTTTGAAAGGGCAACAATATTGTGAGCTGGTTTTGGCACACAGATGTGACCTAGTTTTGATTTTTCTCCTTTGTTCAACGTTTCCGTTGGGGAAGAAGGATGGATAGAGAGATCCTTGCAAACTGGTTTCTGGTCAAAAGTCTTCATGGGCTGTTGACTAGTACTGAGGCCCATTGTTTTGTTGGCTGCTGGCCCAAGTTTCTCTTCGTTGAAACCTTCTCTTTGTAGTGGTATTTTGTGTCCTTTGGTTTGACA